TCTTACTTATCGGGTCATTTTATATTTGTTGGAGATATGTCCGTTGACCTGAACTGCTCCCATCGTGTCGTTGTATAAGACTCTCACCCATTTTCTGAAGTTTGGTCCTACTCCCATTGTTTCCATTGACTTTTGTAGGAAGTCCCAATTGACTTGATCGTAAGCTTTTTCAAAGTAAAAAAAAAGGATTGTTGCGTTCAATTGCTTGTCCTGGATAACTCTGACCGATTCTGCGAGTGACATTACATTATCTAGGATGAAACGTCCTGGGATGAATCCTGTTTGGTCTATGTGAAAGCAATTTTTGGTGATCTTTCTGATCCTATTGGCTAGTAGTTTCGCCAAAATTTTGTAAGCTATTAGTATAGTGATAGGCCTATAGTTCCTCATGTCTGTTGGGTCACCCTTCTTGTAAAGTAGTGTGACTATACCGTCCATGTTGTTCTTACGAAGCGGCAATATTCATCTCCTAAGAGTGGCCAGTAGACTTGCCAAAATTCTTTTGAGATCCCATCTATACCTGGTGTTTTTCTTACTTCATGGAATCTAAGGCTTTTTTAATTTCTTCGTTTGTGATTGGTTGGTCTAATTCTTCTGCCATGGCGTGTGTAATGGTTTTATCTAGATACTTGATAAACTTTTCTCTGGCTTGAAGGATTACCCTAGGGGTGGGTGATTTTGTGTTGGAAGCAAAAATCTCTTTGTAGAAGGATTCAACTATGAAGAGCATTTTCATTGGGTTGGACGTTAGGCCTTCCTCTAAGCTGACTAATGGTTGAGTTCCTTCCTCGTGCCTTGATTTTCTTAAAGAAGAATTTTGTCATTTTCTCACTTTTTCCCATTTTGTTAATCTGGCTCTTAGTCGCATGCCATTTGCTTTCCAGTCATTCCAGCTGGCTAGCTCTGATCTGGCTCTAGTTAGTAGGTCTTCGTAGTCTGTGGATCCAGGGTTGTTCCATAGATTGGATTTCGCGATACTGACTGCTGCCTCTAACTCTTTGATTCTCTGATTTCTTTTTGCTGCTAACTTTCCTGAGGCTGCTGATGTTGCGTTAGATAGGTTGTAAGTTAGGATTGGGAAGTCTGCTTCTGCTCGTTCGGACTCAATGCAGGCTTGTACTATGGCCTGTTTCATTTCGCGGGTGTGGAGTATGAAAATGTTGATCTTGAAGAATCCTGACCCTTTTTGTAACCCCGGATCGAAAACTAAGTCTATGAAGATTGGGTTGTGATCTAATCCGTTATGGTAGGGTAGTTTTCCTATGCCTACTGTTAGTATAGCACCTTTGAGGGATTGAAATATCAAGAAGAAGTCTATGGCTGAGTTGGTGATATGTTGGGTTCTATTTATTTTCCTATATGTCAATCTGTTTACCTCTTAGTGGAGTGTTCTAAGGGGTTCAAGTAGATTCCTTTCTATTACTAACATGTGCATTGCCTGAGCTTCTGTTTGGAGTTGATTTTCCTTTTCTATTTGAGAGCATGACAGTCTGTCACTGGATGGGTCCAGGGTTGTGTTCCAATCTCCGACAAGTATTATATGATTTTGATCGCTGCATATTGTTGTTATGCTCTGAATAAAGTTTTGTCTTTGGGCTGAATCGTTCGGGGCATAGGCGTTTATGAGTTGAAAGGGTTCTTCCTTAAAGGTGAAAGTTGTTTCTATCCATGGGCCGTGTTCTAGGTCTGTTCTGTTGGGTCCTATTTGTATCAATTTGGTTGCTCTTGAGTTGTTGTCCCAAAGGATGGCAGTACCCGCGGAGCCAGCTCTTGGGGCCGGGGCCCAACCTGCTGCTCGCACGTATTTTAATCTTAGAAGTATCTTCCTGATTATTGTTTGGTGTTTTGGGGAGTCAGTGAGATGGGTTTCTTGTAGACATACCACGTCTGGAGGGTTCTTAGAGAACCATTTTAGATAATTGGTCATATTATCCCGTTTGTCTAGGTTGGATAGTATTGTAGTTAACCCGTTGACATTCCATAACATTACTGATAGTTCAGGCTCTTTTGGCTTCAGCGTGTAGTGTTTGGGCCTGTTTCCCATTTGGGGAAGTTGTGCTGTCATGGATTGTCTGGGTGGTCATGTTATTCTTTCATGTTGGTTTAGTTTAGTTATTTGTGGACTCGAAGACGTGAGTGTGACGGATCTTAACCTCTCGCGCTTTGTCTCCCAAGACCCAGTCCAAGTGCTCCTCCTTGTCGTGAGAGAGGGCATACCCTTCGTCTATCGATGCTGAGACTGGGTCAGAATGCAAAAATATTCACAGCAGCCAGACTGGAGGCCAAGAGTGGCTGCAAAAAGAGAGTGATCCTGCCATATCGCTGGAACAACCAACATGAGGACTGGGAAGTCGTGGTCCAAATCCTGGTCGCTGATTTCACTTGCAGGCCCCAACGAAAAAGTTCCGGCAGCCAATATTTCAAAGGAATCCCCAAGCACAACACACATCTTGGGAGCAAGGGCTGATTGGAGAGAGCAGTGGATCAATGACTCTGAGGGATTAGTCTGCAGCGACCTGAGACCATGTGAGGGTAAGGCTCGTTGCATGCGAGGGTAAACAACCTGCAGGGGCTGGCAGGTTCGGCATAGACTTGGGGCACAAGGGTGGGCCGGATTGCACACCTTCAGACACGCCGCTCAACCAGATGCTCAGGGCGTTGACACAAAGTGACCACTCAAGAAGGATACAAGGTAGAGGGGGGATTCCGAGAACTGTTCACCGTTGTATTAATTAGATAAGTTGCCATCCAACACACATCTCCACATGTAAACTGTTTTTATTTTTTATTATTTAGTTGTACGGACTTGTTGACAACTGACAGACGGTTGGAGATAGGATAGTATTTCCCTTGCTGCATTGCATTTGGTATTAGAGTAATTTAAAAAGAGAACTAGTGTTACCTATAGGATCTGACATTAGTTGCTATTGACCACTTGACTATTTCTCTCCAAGCTGACCGAAAAAAGTTGTATATCATAGTCGGTTGGGTGTCATGGTGAGGTAGGATTCAATGTGGATTCTAGTTTAGATGACACACACTGTAGCTCATGAGTGATGCAAGCAGTAGTGAGGATGAGGAACGATTAGTGGAAACCCTTAGAGTTACACGTAGAACTGCTCTGAGTTGTCCGATCACTTTCCAAGAGTTAGCTCCAGGAGAGGAAAGGAGGCTGAGGAGGGAAGCTAGGGAGAGGGCGACATTAAGGAGGGTTCGGTCAGCAACAACCAGCTTGTAGGTCGCAATGGCTACCTCCTCTACGGTGTCTCAGGCCTTGTCCCAGGCCTCTTCGTCAGGTGTCAATGAGGGTGTTTCTCAGAGTTTCGTTATTCAGACTGTAACTGACTGTTGGCTTGCAAGTCAGCCAACAGACTCAATTGACACCGGAGGATTATGAGATCCTCCAAGCGAAAGCTCTTCATGATCAGCTGCAACAACAGTTGAGAGATGCAGCAGAGAGAAGACAGAGAGCAATAATGAGGAAAGCTAGATTAGGAGCCAGGAGGCAGAAGCTAGGTAAACTAGAGGCACTAGACGGGTCAGCACTTGATCCTGCAATGTAGGCGCTGCGTAGCTCGCTCCTCTGCGTGGCAGAAACGCAGGTTGTACAGCAGGAAGTGTTGGCCGAACTAGTGGCAGGCCAAAAGCGAATTATGGCTGCACTGCAGACTCCTCGTCCAATGATGAGGCAGCCTCAGTATGTTGTAGCTGCCCCTTCGGTTGCGGGTCCTGTAGTGACGCCGTCGCCGGTAGGGCCCTCTTTTTCTCCTATGTTTGGCATGCCCCCTCCAGGTGGTTTAGTAGTAGCTAGTGGTTCGGTCCTTATCACTTCATCGGTACCATTAATGATGGTGGCAGTTACAATGCCATCGTCAGGACAGACTCAAGTTAGCACGCATCAACCTGTCTCAGTGGCTATGCAGGGAAAATCCAGCCTATGCAGTGGATGCCCAAGATCCCCTTGCTGAGTCCTAAACCTTTTTCTAGCGACAAGAAAAAGGAAGAGGACCTGGACACCTGGGTGAGGATTGTGCCCACTTATGTGAGGCACAAGCTTACAAGGCTATAGCAAGAAGTTATAGTCGCTGCCTCCTTTTTAGAGGGATCGGCAACACTATGGTTAAACGGGTTAGTTCAGCAACAGGGCTATGGTCAGAACTTCGATGTATGGTCAGATTTCGTACGGACTGTGTACAATAGGTGGCATGACCCTCGAGGGGCACAGACGACCACTAACGCGATCAACAGTCTCTGTTCCAAAAGGTACCGGACTGTACGCGAAGCCACAGATGTCGTAGAACGTTTGATTGTAGTACCTAGTGTGCGCTATTACCCGCAGGTGCTCCTCACGTATTTTTTGAGATGTCTGCCCACAAATGTCAAAAACAAACTGGTGGACGAGGCCAACATCAATGTCCATAGCTTCGCTACGTTCAGCAAGAAAGCCTTAGATATTGAGGCTAAGCTTGGGTCCGCTCATCAGGGTCAGTTAGATGGTAGGAAGAAGAGACTTCCCCAGGACTGGAAGAAGAAAGGCCAACTCATGTTCGTCGACCATGATGATCAGGCGACTGAGATTGACGACTTCCCAGACTATGGGGAAGACACAGAGCAGGATGGGGCCAGCTAGACTTCAGATGGGGGAGTCGTGGGACCTACCAAAGAAATATTAGGGGGATAGTGAAGCAGAAGGTAGGCCGGTCCAAGGGTCAGGGCGACCAAGGAATACCCACATGGGTAAAACTTGGTTTAAACTACGAGGTGTGAAGGGACCGAGTTGCTAGGGGTACTTGCCTGAACTGTGGCAACTATGGCCACACGTCCAGGACTTGCCGAGGCAAAAAGGTCACCATGAAGGTAGCCTCTCCGATAGTGGTGGGCTTATCTTCGAACCCTGGTGGTGCTTCTGCGAGCACTTCGCAGGGAAACACCTCGGGCCAGCAGGAGTGTTAGCCGCTCTTACTCGTGCTGAAGTGGTAACGTTGCCATCACCACTTCAGGCGTTGGCCAAGGCTAGTGACCCATCCATTGCCCTGCAGACACATTCAAACTCACTGATGCTATGTTCGGGAGATGTGTCTGAGTCCCTAAGAGTTACAAAATGAGTGGTCAGGGAAGGACCCCAGAGACTCTTGGGCGATGATTAGTAAAGGTCCTCGGGGTGAACATTTCGTGGTAGAGGTTGATGTAGGTGGTCGCAAAGTGGGTGCCTTCGCAGACATAGGCTCTACACAAAACTTCATAAGTCGTGCTTGTGTGGATAGGTTGCGCTTAGGGGACCGAGTGCAGCGGCTTAGTAGATTTGTAGCCTCTATGCTAGCCAACAAGCACAGTATGGTAGTCCAAGACTATGTCAAGGATGTAGTCTGCACCTTCTCCTATGGAGGCGGGAAACTAAGACATAAAATCTTGTTCCTTGTCAGCGACGAACTGCCATTCGACATGCTGCTAGGTATGTACTACCTCGAGGTTGCTCAACCTCAATTCGACTGGGATGGAAAGGTGATTATCCACAAGTTGCCCAACGGTAGAACCGTTAGAGTGCAGAAGTTCGAAGCTAGCAGCCTAGTCGAAAACTATGGGTGCATGTGCGCATCTTCCTTCTATAACTACTATAAGCAAAATCGCGAGAAAGGCATGCACTTAGTCTTTGTCTCTGAGAAAGGGGAGACCGTGAAATCACCCCCAGAGATAGTAGTCGTCGCACAATATTCAGACCTTTTTGAGGAGCCCACTGGTGTGGTGGAAAGGGAGGTTGTCGACGCGATAGAAGTCATCCCTGGTAGCAAAGTACCTAGAGGATGGATCTACAGGATGTCTCCTGCGGCGTTCGATGAGCTCCGCCGCCAGCTCAAAGAGCTCACAAAGAAGGGATGGATTCGACCTAGTACCTCCCCTTACGGTGCTCCAGTCCTATTTGTTCCTCAGAAGGGAGGTACCTTAAGGATGTGCATTGACTATAGGGGCCTCAATGCCATCACTGTAAAGAACGCAGAGCCCCTACCCCGCATCAACGACCTATTGGATAAAGTGCAGGGATGCCAATACTTTACTAAGATAGATCTAAAGTCCGGATACCATCAAATTGCCATTAGACTTGAGGACCAGCACAAAACCGCTTTCCAGGCCAGGTACGGTCTTTACCAGTTTGTGGTGATGCCCTTTGGCCTATGCAATGTCACTGGAACATTCCAACATGCAATGAATAGGATTTTTCATGATTACTTAGACAAGTTTATCGTCGTGTACCTCGACGATATCCTTATCTTTAGTAAGACTATAGAGGAGCACGTTGAGCACTTACGAACAGTGCTAGGTCTCCTAACACAACACCAATACATGGTTAACTTGGAGAAATGCGAGTTCAGTCGCACCAAGATCTTGTACTTGGGTCATGAAATTTCTGCGGATGGGTTGAGGTCGGACGATGCCAAAGTGGTCAGCATACGAGACTAGCCCAAATCTCAGACTGTTACTGAGGTCCGATCGTTTTTGGGGATGACGGGCTACTATCGACCGTCCGTTAAAAACTATAGTACTATAGCTTCTCCATTAACATATCTAACTCGCCTTGACACCCCTTGGGAGTGGATCGAAGAGTGTGAAGCAAACTTCAAGAAATTGAAGTATGCTCTGACACACTATGAAGTCCTCAAACTTCTAGATCCTAAGCAGCCCTTTGTCGTGACCACAGACGCCAACCAATATGGCATAGGCGCGCTCCTTGCGCAAAAGGAGGGGAAAAAGTTGAGGCCCATCGAGTACATGAGTAAGAAGATGTCATCTCAAAAGTTAGCGAAGTCCACGTATGAGTGTGACCTCTATGCCCTCTACAGAGCGCTGGTCCATTGGAGACACTATCTCCTAGGCATATTCTTCTACTTGAGGTCTGACCATGAGACTTTGCGTTGGATCAAGACACAACCTGTACTCTCTGACGCACTCAAACGGTGGATTCAAGCGATAGACATGTATGATTATCAACTTAATCCAATCAAGGAAGAGTACAACAAAGTGGCTGATGCACTATCGCGAAGGGTGCGCGCCAGTGACAGTTTGGTATATCAGACGATGTAACTCAATCGTTGGTGGAGGCCTATCAGCAAGATCCAGTTACGTCTGAGATCATTCGTAAATATCAAGTGAAATATAAGGTAACTTCCGATGAATTTACGATGGTAGATGACTTGCTGTTTCTTGAAAAGGCAGGGAATAAAAGATTATGTGTCCCGGATAGAGAGTCTCTTCGTAGTTTGTTTTTAGGAGTGTAATGATGCAACTGGCCATGTGAGCTATAAAAAGACTTCAACCAATTTAGTGCAGAGATTTTGGTGTCCTTCTATGATGCAAGATGCCAAAAGATACGTTGAAACCTGTCAGGTTTGCCAGTGGGACAAACTTAGGACTCGGGTTCCACTTGGGCTTCTCAAGCCCTTGCTGATTCGTGAAGGTCCTGTTCAGAGTGTGTCCATGGGCTTCATGGATACTCTTGTGACCAGAAGGACTAGCAAGAGACACATCTTCGTTATAGTGGACTGCTTTTCCAAGTATGCAAGACTTATCGCTATGCCGGAGACTGCTAAAACTGACTACATCATCAAACTGTTTCTGGATAACTGGTACGCGATTTTGGACTCCCTATGTCTATAGTAAGTGATCGGGATGTAAGATTTACCAGCGAACTGTGGCAATAGCTGAGCAGATGGGCACCAAGCTGCAAATGATGTCAGGGAACCATCCTGAGTCAAATGGCCAGGCAGAACAGATGAACCAAGTAGTACAGCACCTGCTTCGGCATTACATTAAGCCGAGTCAGGATGACTAGGACGAGAAGTTACCTCTCGACTAGGACGAGAAGTTACCTCTCGTCACCAGCCTGTATAACAATGTTGTGCACAGTACCACTGGTATGACTCCCAACCAATTGCATCTTGGTTGGAAGCCCAGAACTGCACTTGACTTTCTGCTACCCGAACAACAGCTCACTGCAGCACCTGGCATCATAGAGTTTGTTGTCAAGTACGAGCAAATGCTGCAGCATGCCATCGAGCATATTAGAAAACCTCAGGATGCTATGATCGCATCTGAGAATAAGCATAGATGGCCCTCTAACTTTCACGTAGGTGATAGAGTCTGGGTCAAATCATCTGAACTGGGTCAAGAACTGGGCATATCTCTCAAATTGATGTCACGATATTTCGGTCCTTGGGAGGTCCTAGACATAGTCGGGGATCAGATAGACAGACCTTCCTATGTGATTCGCATCCCACCTCACTTACGCACACACCCAGTTTTTCATGCCTCAAAGCTGGCACCTTTCGCAGAAACTGCACAGTTCCCCTCCAGACGGTCAATGCTGCCCCCAACCATGGATGGTGAAGTCGACATCGACGGAATCGTGGAGGATCAAATGATGCAAGTGCCTAAACCGCCGGGCAGAGGCCGTCCTCCCAAGCCAAGGATGCAATATCGTGTCAGATTCAGACACCATCTTGATCCCCGCAAAGATCGGTGGTTCACTAGAGAAGAACTCCAGTGAACAGCACCTCAAGTTATTGCAGGCTATGAAAGAGAACTCAAGGGAAAGATGCCTGCAGATTAGAAGACTGCTCAGAGGACTGTCGAAGTAAAGGAGGAGGGAATGCAAGGATCTGGGTCCTCGGCAGGCCTAAGGGGCCCTGATACAGATGTGCCCGCCCTAAGTGAAGGCGGGCCTAACAAATCACGAGAGGCCCATTGCTGTCAATTTCGTATTGGGGTCCAGGCAGTTGTGACACGCCAGTTGGTTGAGGGAAAAACAGGCCCGAGCAGCAACGATATTCCACGGCCTTCCAGACCCTTTCGGAAATGCAGGCCCTGGGCCAGAATCGCAGCATCATACACAGACAGTTGGGAGGCCCAACCAATCGAGGCCCAGCAGCTGCAACCGAGGCACAGCCTCCTGGGGCCTACCGGAAGCTTCTGGGCACAGGCCCAGCCCAGCCAGGCCTGCCTGGAGGCTCATTCAGGCACCTGCCAGTTTGTGCGACAGCGCTGCTGGAGCAAATGCTCGCGTGCTGCTGTGCGCTAAGGGCAAGGTGCTGTGTGCGTGCGGTCGTGCAGGAAGCAGGGCGCTGCTGAGGGCAGCGCCAGAGCCCAGCCTCCATAGCTGGCTGAGGCTTGGACTACAGTGGAGTGCAGACGTGGTCTTCGGGTGTACAAAGGGAAGACGCGGGTATAAGACGAGGGAGAGAGAGAAGGATGATGATGATGATGATGTGAGGGCACATACCTGGTATTGGCGATGGTCTGCATCTGGGCGACATCTTCAAGTACTTCGTCGGCTGCTGACATCAACAGTTGCATTATCAATTAGTAGGCAGACAGTAGCTGTGTAGGGAGTAGGCTGGGCGCCGAGCGCCAAGTAGGGAGAAGGGCCTGGACTCTTATGTTGGTGGTGGCGAGAGCAAGCTCTCATTGACATTGGTTTTCAGTGTTACGATTCTCCATTGGTGTTATATTGGTGCAATGCTGCTTTCTGGACACGGTGATACTTTCAGGCTTTCGATGTGATTGTGCATTCTGGATATTGTCATCTCGCTATTGCTCATTTTCCTTGCAGTTGCAACTTGCAATTTGGTTTTCTGTCTGTCGCTCTCGCTCAATTTCCTTGCAGAAGAACTAAGAAATTTAATATTTATTGATTTCCTATAGTGGTTGTCCTATGTTCTGGGGCTGGAACCCCTGGAGGACCAAAACAGATATCCTTTTTTATTAATTCAATATTTATGTGTGTTCAGCCACATGGGCTGTGTAATTTAACATTTATGGTGTTCTCTGTTTCTTTGCATTCTTTTCTCTTTTGTATCTCCCTCTATACGACAGGCTCTGAAGATTGAACCTAGTAATGCAACAGCCTTTCATAACAGAGGCTCATTGTACGAGAGGGTGGGGCAGTACAAAGAAGCTCTGAGCAATTTCAATCAGGCGATCAAATTGGACCTGTAAGAGGCCGATTCTACACTCACGCCATAATTTCTCCACTTTCCACCGCTGACTTTTCTCTCTGAAAGCCTTTCCTTATGCCCAAGTCAAGATCACCTCTCTTTCATATATTTCCGATCCAGCACCAGGTTTCTGGGTTTCAGCCTGACACATGCCCAGTTGGGCAATGTGTATGGAGCCAAGGATACGCAATGTGATGAAACGGACTGAATGGACAATGCAATGTCAGTGAAATATCAACAAGCAATGTACATCCCGATACATACAAAATGGCACAAAGTAGCGCAGTGAAAGACTTAAAGATAAGACCTGACCTGACCAGGGCTGACGCGACATCCCATCATACACCACACATGTGAGAGGGGTAGGAGGGACCTGCATACATAGAAGAAAGGTCCCTCCTTGACCACACACATGGGGGAGATACCACGGATGAGAGATGGGGGGAGAGGCGAGGCGAAGAAGGAGGCGAGGGAGAAGACCAAGATCGCGATAGCGAAGTCCAAAAATAGTCCCTTGTCGGATGTCCAATCAATGTCTGCCTCAAAAATGTCGGATCAGATCCCGGGCGCTATGCCCACTGTAACCTCTGCCTGTAACCTCTCTCTCTTTATCTGAAGAAGAAGAAGAAGAAGAAGAAGTAGAAGAAGAAGAAGAAGAAGAAGAGGAAGGAAGGAGGAAGAAGGAGGAAGGGGGGAGACGAGAGGGAGACTGAAGTAGAAGAAAAAGATGTCGTCTTCCTCGCTGTCTCACCTGCAGGTGGGCGCCACTGTACTGACCGTTGATCGTCGTCGTGTGCAGGTGCATGCGCGGGGAGTTCCAGCTATGGCGCCAGGTACGTCCCCCTACTGCAGGTATGGCCTCCGCCCCTCTGCCTTCCTATCCTCTACTACCAACCTTGCAGCGCAGCGCTAAACCAGCAGCATGTCGCTCAAGAGGTGAGCTACCGAACTGCGTGTCTGCCCAGGCCATGGCCCAGCACTGGGTCCTACTGGGTTGCTCCAGCATGGCCTGAAATGGCCCGCACGGTCGGGGCCCCTACCGGGTGTCCAGACCGTGCTGCTGATGCAGCATAAATAAATAAGTGCTGCCTCAAACTGTGCCTGCGGCCTAAAAGGCCGCCGTGGGCCTCCAGGGCGCGTGTCGGATGGGCACACGCCCCGGGGGCCCCTCAGCAACCGTTGGGCCCCTCAAATAGGGCCCGTGTGCAGGTGTAGCATGTAACACCCCCACCTCCTTATGAAGTCAAGCCAGGTCGAGGGCGAAGCTGACGATCTGAAGGTGGAACCTGGACGCAAGTGCGACGTGGAGCCGAAGGTGCCGGCTTGCCTTGCAACTTGCGTTCTTAGGGTGTGAGAACGTTGGGAGCTGTTGCCTGAAGTTCCGCACGGGTCAACCAACGGTCAGCTTTATGGCTGCAGTACGAAAAATGTACTAAGTACTCGGTCGGCCTGTTGTCGTAGCGTCACTGGGAGATAATGTCACCAACCTCTTGAAAACCACACATAGAGGGTGGGTCTTGCGAATGTTGCCCGGGAAAGTCATCATGTTCCGCTGGAGTGAATAGAGCCAACTTGGAACAATGAAAAACCGGGTAGACGGGCAAGTGGGCGGGCACCTGAATGACGAACGAAGGTCCTTCAGGTGCATCCCCAGCGGGTGTCAGGATCGGCCAGGGCCCCATCCATTTCGGGAGGAGCTTGCGAGAGATATCTTGTTCAAGGCTGAACTCCGCGGCGGAGACCATTACAAGGTCGCCGGCGCGGAATGGACAAGGAAGACACTGACAATTGGCCTGTTGGCTCATGCGTTGCTGCGTCTTTGACATCTGGTCGCGTGCCTTGACAAGTAGCTCTTGCATCCGACCCAAAAAAAAAAGATGGTCCTCGCTCTCAACCGTCTGTGGGATGATTATATCCAACGGAGAAGTGACCGGCGAGCAATACTCGAACTCAAAGGGCCACATCCCGATAGCTGGATGAATGGACGAGTTGTATGCCAACTCGACATCCCGCAGCCGCTGAACCCAATCCTTTTGGTCGGGACGGATGAGAGTGCGAAGGAGAACCTGTGCGGTCTGATGCGCCCTCTCCGTTTGGCCATCGGTTTGGGGGTGGGGAGCCGAACCCGGCTTGGGAGATGAGCCCCATCGCTTGATGATCGCCAACCAAAAATCGGACATGAACCGAGTGTCGAGGCCGCAAACGATTTCCTTGGGGTAACCCTTGGTTCGAATCCACCCGGTGTAAAGAACCTCGGCCAACTCCGGTGTCGTGGCATGATAGCAACAAGGCAAAAACATGGCGAACTTGGTGAGTCGGTCGACCGCCGTGGGAATCCGATCCACACCGGTCTTGTGCTTGGGGAACGGCCCGATGATATCCATGGAAATCGCTTCCCTTCGGCGTCAGGGACCGGTAATGGTCGCAACTCGGCATACGGACGATGACTGCGGGATTTGCAGCATCGACAAACCTTGCATGACTCGCAATAGCGTGTGACGTCGCCGAGAAGGTTGGGCCACCAAAAGCGCTCGTGAAGTCCAGCTAACCGTTCGATTGACTCCAAAATGTCCTGTGGCGGGAGCGTCGTGGAAATCACCAAGAAGCCGCGTACGCAAGTGGGGATCACTTGGCACGCAAAGAAGATTCTTCCCCCGCGAGTGGATGAGCAAATATCCCTCTTGGATCCGGTAGTGCGATGGTGTCGGATTAGGAGAGGAACAATTCTCGTACTTGTCGCGAAATTCGGGGTCGACTTGGTAGCCGCAAATGAAGCTGTCCCACAAGTCGTCATCGATCTCAAAGGTCGAGTAGTCTGTGGTGCAATGACCCGAATGTCGTGATAGAGCACCCGCAAAACGGTCTGACTTTCCCCGGAATGTGATCGGTAAAAAAGTCAAACTGGTCGATGAATGTCATCCAACGAGCGATGGTGTTGTTGACCGTGTCTCGGGTCTAGTAGAAGACCAACGGATTGTTATCCGTAACCCATCAGAATTGACTTTGATCAAGAAGAAAATGCCGCCATCGCTTGAGTGCATGGACGAAGGCTAGTAGCTCCTTCTTTTGTGCGTCGTCGACTGAGTGCACAACGGACACTTTCTTGCTGAAACATTCAACCGGGTGCCAATCCATGCCATTGTGTTGTTCGAGGATGGCACCAATGCCATAGTCGGACACATCGGTAGTGACGCGTGTTGGCAATAGCGGGTGGTAGATGTGCAAGACCTCCGCAGATAGCAAAGCGACTTTGAGGTCCAAAAATGAACCCTGGGCATCCTCACCGAAATCGAACGGCCTATCCTCGCATTGAAGCTTGGTCAAGTTGGCCGCAACCTTCGAATAGCCTTTGATAAAACGCTGGTAGTAGCCAGCAAGGCCAAGAAACGAACGGACATTCTTAACGTTCCACGACTCCGGCCACTCTTGGACGGTTTGGATCTTGTCTTATAACGGACTGATGCCCTCCGGTGTGACAAAATTGCCCAAGTATTCAAGCTCTTGTCGGAGAAATTCGCGCTTGTCATGGTTAGCTTTGTACTTGGCGCGGCGGAGCGTCTCCAACACTCATCGAAGGTGCTCAAGATGATCCTCCAAGGTCCGGCTATAGACAAGAATGTTGTCCACGTAGACCAGCACGAACCGGTCCAACATCGCACGGAACTCGTTGGTCATTGTCGCTTGAAAGGTCACCGGGGCATTGGTGAGGCCAAAAGGCATGACCACCCACTCAAAATGCCCATACCGTGTCTCGAACGCGGATTTATAGCGATTATTCGGGCGTATCGAAATTTGATGATAGCCCGACTTCAAGTCCAACTTGGAAACGTACTTCGCGCCGCCCAAACGCTCAAGAAGATCGTCGATACGAGGAAGAGGCCCTGCATTCTTGACGGTTTGCGCGTTGAGCTTGCGGTAGTCGATGCACAATCGTAGATCCTTGTTCTTCTTCCATACGAAGAGAACCGGCGCACCATGTGGTGAGCTGCTAGGGTGGATCCAGCCCTTGTCCAATAGATTATCTAGTTGCGCGCGGAGGACCGTGAGCTCCTCCTCGCTCATGCGATAGATGCAACCTTTCGGTGGCATGGCACCGGCCTCAAGAATGATCTCGTGAGAGATCAGCCGATCCGGCACCACACCGGTAGGTGACTCGAAGATGTTGGCGAACTCGTCAAGCAACCGCACCACACGGGAGTCCGAAGATAAGTCGGTGGGTGAAGAGTTGGCTACCGCGATAGTTCGTAAGAAACATAGGCCTATCTCGTTGGGCTGCTTGTAAGCACAAGTGGCCCGAAACGACTTGGCCTTCACAACTTGGCACCGGATCGAAGGGTGTAAAAGAGGAATGGTCCACGACACTTTGGGGCCAAAGGCGTCGCGGACGGTAAGAGTCCGTCGATGAAAGTTGACCGTGTGATCCGCACTTGCAAGCCAAGGCATCCCCAAAATGATATCGAAGTCCGTGTCCAAGATGCTGAACGACACTGGTTCGCATGCATGAGGTGCGAAATACACCGGTACGGCCTCGATGTAACGGTCGATAAGTTGTTGCGTCCTTCCATCCGCCAACTTGATCACCGTCTGGTTTGCGTTCCTCCGAACTTGTGTGCCAAGGCCAGCCCTTTGGACGTGCCGCTATCTAGCAAAGCGATGCAGGACGCTTGCCCAACTTGGCTGCGGACATAGAGGAGCGGTGCGTTGTTGTCACCGTACCGCTACGTGCGAAACGCGCGGGCCACCTTGGTAACATATGCAAGGATGTCCCCCACCGCAGCTTCGTCATCCGTCGGAGAAGGTGGTGCATAGAAGGATAAGTACGTGTGAAGATGAGCGCATAGTGTTGCGCATTGCAGTCCCGGCAAGCGCCCCGTGGTCGGGAGAGGAAGCCATGCGAAATCCGCGGATGTGAGCGAGTCCAATACCTCTATGTTGAACTCGTGCGCAGAACCACTTGAAGACACCGCTTCCAGACGGAGAAGATACCGCACACACAT